ATATAAATGCTCAAAGTAAAGATATGGAAAGAAATACGGAGATGTTTTCTAGTGGTATCGGAGAGTCTCCACTCTCCACTAGTACTCGTTCGAGCACCCGCGCAAGGGTGTAACTTCCCCTTGATCCGTGCAAGGATCAAATGCTCTCTATAGGCTGATTCTTTGACACTCCATCGTGGTGAATCGCCCACAATCGCTCGCAAAGTGACTTGGGTTATCCACAAGCTCCATCGGATGATCACCAAGCTCCCAATCACCACCGAATCGTCTAGGTGATGGCGATCACCAAGAGTAACAAGCATAAACTCTCACTTGACCAAGACAAGCCTAATGAGTAAGGTGGATGTACACTTGCTACTTCCTATGCACTAATGAGGTCCTTAATCTTGGATTAACAAATCTCAATCACCTCACTAGGCTCTTACTCTCCCTTGTACTCCAAAAGTGTTTCTCAGCTGAACAAATGGGCAAGAGACCTCCCATGGATGAGTGGAGTAAGTATTTATACCCCCTCATTCAAAACATAACGTTTGGAGGCTGAGTCATCATTCTATGGGCTGACCGGACGCTCTGGTCAAGGTGACAGACATTCCAGTTAGTTGTACCGCCACTGTGTCAGAGAGAGCCGTTAAGCTCTGATTGGACTCTGATCAGCATCCGGTTGGCACCCACCGGACGCGTCCGATCAAGAAAAAACCTCTCTAGAACCTCTATGGAGTGGGCCGGACGTAGGCACCCCAGCGTCCGGTGCTCCTCCACTTAGTGTTCGATCAGTACTAGACGACTATAGTTGATCAAATGAATTGACTGGACTCACCCTCCAGCGTTCGGTCACAACCAGACTAGCGTCCGGTCAGTCATTTGACTCTCCATTCACTTCTAACTCAAAATCCTATGTGAATGAAGTTGACTCCAATTGATCTTAGGGCTATCCCTGAGCTATCTAGTGCTAGGTTAGATAAGTGTGCACCACACCTAACCCACTAAACTCACCTAGGTCAAGCTTATAGTCCATACCCCCTTAATAGTACAGCCAAATGAAAAACAAGTCCTAAACTACTCTAAGTGTTTCTCCAACACCAAACGACACTTAGAACTGCTCCGTCCTTTACCTTGTTGTCCATCCTTTGAAAACCGAAATAATTTCCATCGATAGGGGCATGACAACCATGATTGCCCAATCAATTTCCATTACCATGACCTAACTCAAATTGTCTCTGCAAAACACACGTTAGTCATAGTAATCTCATGTCGTCATTAATCACCGAAACCCAACCAGGGGCCTAGATGCTTACACGTACCCACTCCCTCCTCTCGTCGCGCTCCCCCCCGGCAACGTCCGAGGTGTCGAGCATGGAGCCCTTCTTGGCGCCGCCGTCGGTGGAGCTATTGCTTTGCTTCTTCCGGGCGCCCTTCCTTGGGATGCGACCGTCGTAGGATGTGCCGAGGAGGCAGAAGTCGAGGCGACCCCACCCCTCCTCGTCGGAGATGTCCCACCCAATGCGCTCGACCATCTCCTGGAGTGGCCCATCACCGCCGTCGTCGAAAGCGTAGTCATAGCCGTCAGCATCGCCACGGAGGAAGCGGTGCGCGTGCTCCCACTCGACGCGGTCAACGTAGACGGGGTCATCGAGGGCGTCGCACGCGAGGCCCGCCCATGGTGCGGTGTCCCCGTAGTCGAGCTCGGCCGCGACCCACCGAAGGTATGACGACGGCAGCGTGCCCAGCATCTGGCCCCTATGCTTGCCAAACTTGATCACGCGATCCCTTGCCGGCCGAGACGACGACGCCGGTGGAGGCGGAGGTGTGGGCGCCGGTCCCACTCTCGGTGCCCTAGCATGGCACTGGCACCGACGCCCGTGGGGGTGGGTGGTGAGGCGAGGGAGGCGGATGAGGTGAGGAGGCGGCGTTGTGGACGTGGGTGTCGGCGGAGCAGGGGAGGAGAGGTAGGGTTGGACGCGGTCGGGACCAGCATCGATTGGGAGAGAGGGGGCATTTTGTATATTTTCCTTGGTCGGGCCCACATGTCAGGGCTAGCAAACGGTGGAAACCTAACATAAGACGAACGAAATGGTGTAGAGGACAAGAAAGTTTAGCGTCATGGCACTAGGGTCCGTGTGAACTTTTTAGTGGCATGTAGGAATGGAACATCTTTCATAATGGCACACGGGGAAAAGCCTCATTTGTCTGGAGAAGATGGACGGCCGACGGCGGATCTCGTGGGGAGTGGGAACTCACAACACGCAGCCCCGCGGGCTAGTTCTTTGGGCCGCAAACCAAATTGTGATGAATGGGCCTTGTTTTGATTGAACATATTTTGTTTATCTTGGTTGATGGGTATTACCACAATCATATATATTTTGATAGCACTTAGAAATTTATGGATTTCTTAAATTTGGTATTCAAATAAATATTGAATCTAAAGATAGAGACATAGTAAGGTCATTTAGATGGTTTTCTTTATATTTTGAAGTATGGAACTATGTCGAAAAGATGAGTTAAACAAAAATTTAGTGTCTAAATTCTTGTGTTGGCTAGATGATAAAAAATAGAATACCATAAGTTGATTTTTCTTTAAAACTATAAGAAATACCAGAAAACAACTACGACCTATATTTTTCCTATTTGCTTTGCTTATGCCTCTCCCTTTTTTTGTCCCGTAATTAGAGGGTCAATTACCGGTAAGATTATGTGCTAGTCTGTTCTAATGATAACTCGATACATTAGATTCACTTTTGACTCACAAAGACTCATTGTTGCCAACATGACCTATAACCACATATCTAACAAACTAACAATCTAAATCCCATTTCCCTAAAAATCCTCACAAAACTTGGTCTAGGAAATATATTTTGCAATTCGTGTGATCCAAACAACCACAAAAAATGCATAAAAGGCTCTCGATTTAGCCTATATCGAGAGCCCTCTTGATTTAGATGGCGAGTCTATGTTGGAGCAAAAACAACCAAAAACAAAGGGGAGAGGAATTAAAACTCAGACTAGCGAGCACCTCGTCTCGATGATACCATCCTTCTCCACGGAGTTACCACCTCTAGCAACCTCCTTGACTCCACTAACCATCGATCCGTGCTAGGGTTAGGGTTTTGAGCTATAGGGTTAGAGGAGAATCCGTGGTTGCAAGATTTAAACGGGGATGTCTAGGGTTGGGCATTGTACTGATAGTGCCAGAAGTGTGTGTAAGGTGGAAGGGTGGTGGCGAGGCCTATTGGGGGTGGTGGAGGACGATTAGGAAGGGTTAGTAGCGGGGGTGTCAGATCTAGAGTGGTTAGTGGTGACGGCGGATGTAGAAGCGATGGCACCACTAGATCAAGAGGGGCGGCGGTGGAGCCATAAAAACATAGATCCAATCACGGAGGGAGATGAGGGAAAAAGAGTGAGGGAGGGAGTACCGGAGTAGGGTGGCCCTCGTCGGCGTTGGAGGAGACATCGTCGAGGTAGAGACTAGGGGTAGGGTTAGAGGAAGGGGGCAGGATGGGGCACGACAATAGAGGCAGGTCTCGTTTTAAGGTCAAAGGGAGTGGCCTATTTGCCTCCTTGACTGAAACTTTCCCCTTTTTATCCTCTAGTCAACTTGGCTTATTTGTTTTAAATAACAATTGTCCCCTCTGTAGATAGAGCCGCAAAGTGTGATACCAATAAGTCAGGAAAGTATGCATTTGTTTTTTCTATCGAGATGCTTTGTGATTTGGATGTGCAAAGACACTTAAGGTTGGGCGCATAAAATTTCACTTGAAGTTGCTTCATTTAAAAAAAAATTTGTGTTACTCAATTGTCGTGTATGTCAAAACAGGAAATTAAAAATGGGAGGCTCTTGTTTATGCTTAACGTGATAGAACTAATGTTTGCAAGGACAGCTCTAGGGAAATAAGATTAGCCAAAATTTTGAACGAACCAAGAAACATGATAGGAAGTAAGAACAGGACAAACCTTCTATTCCGGTGCACCACTTAGAGTGGACCATGTGGTGGACGACATCATAGCCATCGGCCTTGGGTTGTAGGTGGGGTGGGTTAGGTATATACATGTGGTGGACGACGTCGGTGCTATAGGCCGTGGGTTTTAGGTGGGCTGAGCGAGGTATCTAGTTATATAAATTTCCTTCTATACCATTCAAAACTATACACATCCCTTGTATGCTATTGGAAATTACAACTTCCCTTTATTGCCATTCACTTGAACCTTTGCACTCTTCATATATCATTAGAAATTATAGCTTCCCTCAAATGCCATTAAGTTACGCTTTTTCATCCCATATATGTCATTGCTATCAATTTTATATTGTTACTATTATTGAATGTTGTGCAAATAAAAATGAGGAACACCAACATATCCATAATTGTTCTTGAGGGCAATGACATGGAAGGATTGAAGGACTAGAAAAAAATGCTTCCATATGTAACTTTCTTTTCCACTTTCACTTAACAGCAATGTAATGGCAAATTGACATCAGTCAGCAGTGAAAGGAAGGATGTAAGTTTTGATGCAATATAAGGGATAGGTATAGTTTTTGATGGCATATAAGTAAATTTTCACCCCTAGTGCGTATCCAGATAGGGTCCCCCCTTAGTTGCCTCTTACCAAAAATACAACACACATCCTGAATCTCCTGTAGTTTCATATTAAGAGGGCGAAAAAAGATATCTGAAGTCGTTTCAATTTCAAGCATCCACAATTGTACTCGTATGCATTTCAGCTTTTGGATAGCTATGTTTATCAAAGGTTACAGCAAAGGCGCAAAGTTTTGCATATGACAGGTTCTTCAGATATTCCATCACCGATAGTATCTAGTTCAGGTGAGGAAAATCACTCTTACTAAAGGTCTACAACTAGGATCATCGGATCTGTATGCAACGATAATTTGGGTTCCGTTGGCAATAGCCAGAATGCCTTGCACTACACTGCCAATGTGATATTTCAAAATAAGTAGCACCAACAAGGCCTTGTTTGAATCAAAGCATGGCTGCAGATGGCTAGATCGATTATCTTGCAGTAAAAATAGGTTCAGCTTCAGCACTTGGTTGGGTTCTTCTGGTATACTTTATAAGCAATCCTTCTGATGAGACACCTGGTAAGCGCAAATCCCTGGACATAAGGGAAAGATATAAAGTCACATGCCGAATTCACACACACACACACACAAAAAGAACTCAACCAAAGAAAATTAATGCAAATCACACCTGATATAGGGCTGCAGATCTTTCCATTCCCACTTAGGCTGCTCACGGAAAAGTGCTGCAAACCTGTCAGCAGGCGTCAGTGGCAAATCGGCAACACTAAAAGCATGCACCCAGGTCTCAGCTCCAAGCTTTTCACACAACACTTCCCCTTCCAGCATCTGAAGATCCGCACGCATTCCTGAAGGAATGCTTCTCTCCCATTTGTCCATAAAGTTAGCGAGCTTCATCTTTCCTGCACCAAGCGCTCTCTGAGCAAACTGTAAGCATACACGCTTCTCATCAAGGTTCCAAAAACTCCTGGATTCCTGCTCTACCTTTGTGCCAAATCTGTTGAGGCAGTGGGTTACAATCTTATGGGTAAAACCATCAGATTCCATGACAGAGAGCACATCATTTTCTGGCATTGCATTTAATGGCCAATCGTGCAACACAGAGTTGTGCAGGATCATGTCAAGAATCGTGTTCACAGAATTGGCATCAACTGTCCTCCAGAATCCATCAATCTCAACAGCCGAGAGGGTATTCAACCCATCTAACAGCTCTCCATCACTGGCCTGGATAAGTTTGCAGAGGTCTTGCCAAGTGTATAGCCCCTTCATATGTTGGAAGTCATTGCCAAGAACCTCATCAAGTATGTAGGGCCTCTCGCGGAGAAGGCTCCTCAATTTATCTAGTCGCGGAGCAGTTCTGACCAATTCAATGCTCCCTGGTGCTAATTTGATGGTAGCAGCCACCGCATTAGCATCGCCATTTGTGCTGTCAGGTCTTAAGCATTTAGCAGACGGCTCCCCAGGTGGTATCAGAAACATAGAATTGGATGTGCCAACAAACTTCATGGAGTACGTTGCAGAAGGTGTGCAGAGGACAGCTTCTTCTTCAGGACGCCCCCGTACAGTCACCCTAGATCGAGAGAAATGTCAAAAATTCTAGAGATGGAAACATTGAAACAATGCACTGTATAATGGAACATTTAAAGCGTTTATTATACTTCTCCAACGCAACATGAATTAGCGCTGCAAACCCAAGGATCAACCTTAGTATGTTCACTTGATATCTGTGGCGGAGATGCCAGCCGTTTATCCGGTTCAGCCGGTTCAGCTTTGCGTAGGAGAAATCAGCAAAGTTAAACTGCGTTCCAGTCCAAAATGGAAGAAGAACGGATAGAAATGGACTGAACTGAACACTACATGAAGATAAACTCACGAGTAAGTATGCTTAAGCTTAGACTTCCTCGCAAATAAGCAACAGAGGTGCACATATCTATGGACTAACAGCCTATGTTTTTCAGAAACTATTAACAGAAATATAGTCATGGTGGACCAATTTGACGACGGCTAAGAATATTTCGCGCAAACTAGTTAGCACACATGCTGAATAGTGAAACCGGGTAAATTTCTGGTCTACGAACCAAGTATAGAAAATGAGATTATGCGAGATCGGTCGTATATCTCATAAATAATAGTGGCATACTAATAACGGCGCTGCTGGTTCTTGGTCTAATTGGGGAAAGCATCGTATTTCGCTTGGTTGGGCGGAGGGCGCTTACCGGCCTTGCAGGAGGTCAGGGAGCAGGTCGTCGGCGGCCTCGAGGAGGACGAGGTCGTCGTGGGGACCGAACGCCTGGTGGTAGCACAGCGATACCGGGGCGCCGCCGCCGGCAAGGCCCAGCACCGCGTCGGCCCCGCCGCCGCCGCCGCCCCGCTCGATCTCGGCCTGGGCGCCTGCGTCCTCCATCTCCGCATCCATGGATCGGTGCGTGGCGGGCGAGGGGTTCGGGATTGGGGATTTTCTTTTCTTTTCTTTTCCTCGTTGGGTGCCTAGTGTGTTGCTTGCTTCGTTTTGCCGCGCTTTTGGTTTTGGGCTGAGTTTCGCGCGGGAAATGTTCTGGTTTTGTGGGGCCATGAAGTCAGTCTTTGGACGTGAGAGATGGAAGCGAATATTCCTTTGCAGATTGATGGAAAGGTAATGCTAAATTTCTTCGTGACATTTCAATATTTTATGTTGTGATGAGTGTGATTAAAAAAAGTTCAATAGAAAAATGTAGTTTTTTAGCAAGTTCCAATGTAAGTAGTTGTTGCCTCGTCTTTCGTTTCTAGTTGGCTATGGCCTGTTTGGTAGGATTTATTGTGTGCTGCGGCTGATTTAGGCCCTGTTCACTTCATTGAAAAAATAAGTTGAAACACTATTCCGGCTGATTTGTTGTGAGAGAAAAACACTGTTTTGGCTGAAAAAATAAGTTGAAAAAGACGGATTATAAGAGAAGCGAACATGGCCTTATAAGACTGATGTGTTGTAAGAGAAAAATATTGTTCTATGACTGAAAAAGTAGAACTGATTCTGACTAATAAGCTCAAGCGAACAGGGCCTATGTATAGAGGTAAATTAATCAAGCTTCACTATAAATTTGTAAGCAATGAGTGCAAATATGAAAGGTCATTGGGAAGGACAGAAAGCTTGATGACGATGTAATACAAGACATTGTAGGCTGCATGAAGCATTTATTGCCACCGGACCTCCTCAAACTTATGATGAAATTAAAAGGTTTTATCTTATGGGATCTTGTGGTAGAGGTAACCTTGCATCTTATTGGGATGTAGGGTTGATGTTTTTTAGTTGTCTTTGTTGTTATATGTTTGTCGGCGGCATGTTGTTGGCTGAGTTTTCTTAGTCGTAGTGTACTGTTTTCTATTGTAAATCCAGTCCGGATGTTCTTATTTACTAATATATAATCGGCAGCTCTCCTACTCGATTCGTTTTAAATGTGAAAGGTTGAATATAGCACGTTAGGCGTTTTAGGGGTCTTCTTTTGGCATGAGAAACGTACCCGTGGAGATATCTTAGCGTCCACTGAGGCATTGCCAACATTACTAGTCCCTCGGTTAAGTTATATGAGAAAGAGGAAACCTATTTTGTTCATCTTCACCCTCACATCTTCTCGATCCACATTGTCGGTGCGAAAAATGATCAACAAGTAAATATTTGTTGTTTTGTCGTGCGTTATGTTCGGATGTGGCCTAGCACGCGATGACACAGGATTTATACTAGTTCAAGCAACATGCCCTACGTCCAGTTTCAGTCGGTCGATGACTTTATTCCTGAGCCCAGGTGCTCGAAGTTTGCTATGGGATTACAAACGAGTAGAAATAAGAAGTGGGGTGTTAAAGGCCCGGTCGGACTCTGAACTGAATGGCCGAGAGTGACGGGTGCTCTAACGTGCGCTAAGTATTGGAGCGTATGTTTTGTGTAGCTGTCGAGTTCTAGGGCTATTGAGCTGTTCGAGTCCTCAGGTCGTCGAGTCCTCAAGTCGTCTAGCCTCTTTTTTCTTTCGAGAGCCAGCTAGTTTTTAGGAGAGAGTTCATCCCCTTTTATAGTTGAAATGGATGACCTTACAGGTCAGAGAGAGAGTTTGTATACATGTGCTACTTAGTCTTGTTGCTTAATGCTTGCCTGGTCCAACAAGAGAAGAGACTAAACAGGTGGTGCAAAGTAGGCGGAGGATCGGTCATGGCGCCCACACATCATCTTGTTTATGTCCAAACGCATCTGGTAGGCTCACCGTGTGTTTGCCTAGTCTGCTAAAAAACAAGCGTCGGCACCAACTACCAAAATCTGTTTATATCCACGCATCCGCAAACATCCGGCATAAGGGCTCTACCGTAAGACATGACCACACGAATGGAGTTCATATCATAGCGAAATGCGATAGCAAACGTCGGCGCCTATAATATTGTTTGTGCTCGACAGGGCGTCGCCCGGAAGGTTGCATAGTGCCCTTTGGCATGGCTTTGGGTGGCGTATCCCGCAGTGCACGAGGACATGGCGTAGTACGGTCCTCGGTATTGCGGTTGACTTGATCGCTTTACCTTATCCGCTCTTGCTTGATCCCAGGGCCCTCACCGAGCGGGTGTCCCCGGTCAGTCGTTCCCAGTCGATCCCGACCGTGTCGGTCGAGAAAAGGCAGCGATTAGAGGTCCGACGTTTCCTCGGTCGGAGAAAGAGGTCGGAGTCGGAACGCTGTTCCACCTTGGCCAGGCCCTTCGGTCGGGACCGAATTGTTGTCTCGGCCTGTCATTATGAATCTGGGTCAGCCCAGGCGCGTGTTGTCGCTGTGCCGCCTGTCGGACCGGATTTTACAGGGAAGCGAATTTATTGGGAACCCCGAGTTTATAAACCCGACACACATTAAAATAGCTTACAATTTACTCGTCCCTATTGACTTCATTTCTCCTCGTTTCCTCTTCCACGGCATACCAAAGTACCAACCTTTATACATGTCCTTATGTGTAAGGCAACTACAAAGGCTAATTTATCAATTTTAAGTCATTCAGCCGTATATCATCTTCCTATGCTAGAGGCTAGAACTTTGTTTCATTATTAAAAAACAATTCTAAGTCATATCACAGAGCTAATAATTTGAAAGAGAGAATAAGTCCGAACTTATTATATCGTTGGACTACTCTATTCGAGCAGCAACTAAAAAGAGAAGCCTATTCCAATCATGAATGACAATAGCAGCATCTACGGAGTCTCGAGAAGAAAAAAAAAGAATCCAAAATTTTGGCATCAATCAGAGGAAGAACCATACGAAAATCATCTTTAGCTATGGAATTGTTCCATCTCCTAAAATTTAGTTGCTGTTCCATCAAATATTTAGACACATGTATGAAATATTAAATATAGACTAATTATAAAACTAATTGTACAGTTTGCGATTAATTTACGAGACGAATCTTTTAAGCCCAATTAGTCCATGATTTGAATATATGCTAATGACAGATTAATTAGGCTTAAAAAATTCGTCTTGTGGAGTACTGACGGATTATGTAATTTGTTTTTTTATCAGTATCCGAACATCTCATACGACATCCTTATTTAACACCTCCTAAATTTTAGTCACCGGATCAACCACTCCTTAAGAAAAAGCTAAAAAAAGTCAACGACACGGCCTGGTTTCACGGACACCAAGGTCTTGTTTAGATTGCAGTTAGGAATCAGTATTTGGCACTGTAGCACTTTCGTTTGTATTTGACAATTATTGTCCAATCATGACCTAACTAGGCTTAAAAGATTCATCTCGTAATTTACAATCAAACTACGTAATTAATTATTTTTTTTATCTATATTTAATCCTCTACGTATGTGCTTAAAGTTTTGATGTGATGAATAGAGAATGAAAAAACTTGCAATCGGCCCAACCAACAAGCAAGCCACGCGCGAACAAACGCAGACATTCCTCATGCTGTTCGGCTGGCTGGCTGGTGCTGTCCCTCTCTCTCTCTCTCTCTCCGCAGTCCCCACACATCAGCAGTGGTACCAACGCCCCCGGGAGTTCCCCAAAATGCCCCTGGACCCCGACTCCTCGTCGCCGGCGCCCGCGCCGCCGCACCGGGACTGGTTCTTCCCGCCGGCGCCGCCGTTCCTGCCTTCCTCCAGGGCGCGGATCCCCAGGACGCCCTTCCCCTCCACCTACCGCTCCTCCAATCCCTACTCAGCCTACTCCCTCGCCGACCGCCGCCCGCCTCCTACCCCACGCTCCCGTTCCCGCTCTCCGCACCCACCGCCGGAGCAGCAGCAGCAGCTGACGCCGCCGCCGTCGACCCCTCCGTCCGCGCCGCGCCGCCGTGACCCCCGGTACGCCGGCGTCCGCCGCGAGGATGTCCGTACGGCTGCCTCCGAGCAAGCGGCGCCCCCGACGTCCGCGCCGGTGCACGGGAGGAAGCTCGCGGCGTCGGCGATCGCTCCGCGTTGGTCCGGGGTGCTCTCCGCGGCGGTGAGAAATGGGTGGACTCGCTGAGGTTTTACGTGTTTGACTTTTGTTGACTCGGGTTGTTTAATCGTGGAATCTGTTCGCCGCAGGTTATTTTACTGTGCCTGGCCTCCCTTCTCCGCCGGAACTTCTCGTTGCACGATCAGGTTTACCATCTGCAGGTACGGGACCACACTTAGTTACCTTGCACTACGTGAATTCGTGGAACACTTGTACATTCCTTTGATTGATTTTATACCCTGTTTCATTGCGATTGTTTCAGGAGCAGCTGGCTGTAGCTACTGCAAAACTTCAGGCATGCATTGTAGACCCCTCACTGGATACGAGCAGCATTAATCTGTTTTATCAGGATGCTAACAGTACCACGCAGAACAGAAGCCTTAAGAACCTCTCCCTGCTTATCTCCCTTTCGGTACTATACGCACCACTCCTCATTCTCAAGTACGTGGATCTTGTGTCAAAGATAAGGAGCTCACGTGACTCCGAAGAAGTTCCCATAAACAAGCGGTTTGCATACAGAGTCGATATATTTTTGTCACTTCATCCGTATGCTAAACCGTTGGTCCTGCTTGTTGCTACGTTGTTACTAATTGCTCTTGGTGGGCTGGCTCTGTATGGTGTGACTGATGATAGCTTATCTGATTGTCTTTGGCTGTCCTGGACCTTTGTTGCTGACTCGGGGAACCATGCCAGTGCTGAGGGTTTTGGACCCAAGCTGGTTTCGGTTTCAATTAGTATTGGTGGGATGTTGGTTTTTGCTATGATGCTTGGTCTTGTCACTGATTCAATCTCTGAGAAGTTTGATTCTTTGAGGAAAGGAAGAAGTGAAGTCATAGAGCAGAGCCACACTCTAATTCTTGGATGGAGCGATAAGCTGGTAATCTTTGAATGAACCTTTGTTAATGTTTTCGTTCAATTTTTCTGTGTATGTTAGATGTATTGCTGTTCTCTTTGTTCTAATTCTTGGAATGTTGTACTACTCACTAATTTGTTTATTAAGAGCCCTATAAGGTTGTTTCACAGTTATTCCTATAATGGCAAAACCATATAGTATTTGTCATAGTATCGTGCATATTCCGAGATAATTTTGATGCACACTTTTGGCAACTTTGGTTCCCTGAAGCTAACTTACATAACTACTTTGTTACACGTCATCTTGTTATAAGAACAAAAGGTTGCATTTCTCCATATTTTATGGTGTAATCCCTTTCATTTGGTGGCAATAGGGATCTTTGCTGAACCAAATTGCCATTGCTAATGAAAGCTTGGGAGGTGGGACCATTGTAGTGATGGCTGAGAGAGACAAAGAGGAAATGGAAGCAGACATTGCTAAAATGGAGTTTGACTTGAAAGGAACAGCTGTAATATGTAGAAGTGGAAGCCCTCTGATACTCGCTGACTTGAAAAAGGTAAATACATACATTTAGACATACTTTTTCTCAGTCTTGAAATTTGATCTTCTGGCATCCTTGATTGTTAATATGAAATTATGGTCTGTTGACAGTGATAGGATGATTGTAATATACATGTAAGTTAGTTCCTGGATACCACTTCACTTCTTTCTATATGTGCTATTTTTCAACTAAATATACCTTCATGCACAAGGTCTCAGTTTCAAAGGCGCGAGCAATTGTTGTTCTTGCTGAAGAAGGAAACGCTGACCAGGTAAGCTTCTCTGATCAAGCTATGCTGTTCTTGAAAGCTCTTCCGTACATCATTGCACCCTTTTTGCAGAGTGATGCACGGGCACTGCGAACAGTCTTGAGTTTGACTGGAGTTAAAGAGGGACTAAGTGGTCACATAGTAGTTGAGCTTAGTGATCTCGACAATGAAGTTCTAGTCAAACTTGTTGGTGGAGATCTTGTGGAAACGGTTGTCGCGCATGATGTGATTGGACGATTGATGATACAGTGTGCACGTCAGCCAGGCCTTGCTCAGGTTTCCTTCTAACCAACAATGAATACTAAATGCTGTCACTTTGTTTAGATAAGAATCCTTACTGGATATCCACATCCTTCTGTGTTTGCACCAGCACAAAATCAACCCACTAAGCTTAGTAGATGGAAATCTGACCATCTGGTTGTGCTTGTGACATTAAACTCATTAAAAGGAACTTCTTTTGGGCATTCTGTTGGATTCTAGTTATTGTTCTGTTGCAAAATACTCATGTGCATCTAGAAGATCATTTAGTAAAGTCTGTTTACTAAGTTTAAAAAGGTACACATGCCATAGAAACATTTTATATGCTTAACTTACAATCTTTCATTCAAGATTTCCGGACATACATGACCGCATGAGCTGCTATATAGGCTATCTATTGCCATTCACAGTTTTGATATCCTTCGTGCAAACTTTTTTTTTCCAATTCCTCTTTTCTCTATACTTATTTTCTTTAGCTTAGAACCACAGATTTTTGTGAAACTAAACTAGTGGCTGTAGATTTTAGTCGTACCTACATCTATAGAATTCTTACTATGATTATCTGTCTGATCGAATGCTAGTGATAGCTCAGGAATTTACATATAGTCGGGTACGCCCTTTGTAGTTAATAATTTCTTAATACTATTTGAAAGATCATTTGAGTTTAATACACAGATATGGGAAGATATTCTTGGTTTTGAGAACTGTGAATTCTACATTAAGAGATGGCCTAAGTTGGATGGAATGCGATTTGAAGATGTGCTGATTAGCTTTCCTGATGCTGTTCCATGTGGCATAAAAGTGGCATCTTATGGGGGCAAGATTATTTTAAACCCTGATGATTGTTATGTTTTGCAAGAGGGTGATGAGGTGATAGTAATTGCAGAGGATGATGATACATATGCCCCAGCACCATTGCCCAAGGTAATTCTTTTATTAGATGTAATGTTCTTTTTTCTATTATTCTAATCTGCAAGCAGTTGGTTTGATATTTTTCAGCGTAATGACTGTAATTTCAGTATTGATATTAAATCCTGTGATCTTTAGAATTTTGCAAGTTTTCCGTGGCAGTGTTGGACTGTTGGTAGCTATTAGTCTACTCGTTGCATTCCACAAACTATACTGTATTACCATTGAAATGGTCTGCCTCCAGGTTCTGTTATATAATCTGTCAATTATATATCTATAACTCTTCCATTCATCTATTCTTATCTTTGAAACTTACTGCATCAATGGTTTTTGAGAGTAGAGTATACTTACATTTGTGAGCGTTTTTAATTATTTATAATTTTTTAATATTTTGTTGACAATTGGTATCTCAGTCATTGCACATAGACTATTTAATATTTTTTTTAGATCAATTCCATAGTGGTAGACTCTCTTCACTAGTGTTCAGGAGGTCCTGGGTTCAAACCAGCCTCTTTGCAAATTTTGCGAGGGTAAGGCTATTTTAGAAATTCCCTTACCCCAAAGGCCCAAACCCATAGTTGGGAGCTTTGGCATTTAGATCTATTCCACAGTGTAAGAGTCTCTTCACTAGTGTTCAGGAGGTCCTGGGTTCGAACCAACCTCTTTGAGCACCTTCTGGAATTACTTCCTTCCCTAGTTTGATCAGTAGGATTGTATGCTTAATAACAGCAGTCAGCACAAAGCAGCAGATTGAACTGTGGCTTCTGCTCAAATGAAGCTTTATTTCCTTGGTGTCGTGATTTGCAATTTATCCATTCCCTTCCCATTTTGATCATCGAGTACCGTTGGTGCAGCCACCTTTTGCTGTTTATGTTTTACAGACAACAGTCTAATGCTTGTTATCACTTCTTGAAACCATAAAACTAGAATAAACATAGACACTGCACATATGTGTAACATCCCATAAGCAAAGTCAATCTTATCATTCAGGTTAAAGAGGCTGTTTACATAGACATTGTTCATCCTGAAAGAAAGCCTCAGAAGATTCTTCTTTGTGGATGGCGACGGGATATAGATGATATGATTGCGGTAAGTTCTTTCTTTGAAGCTCCTAATTCCTTTTCTTCTGTTAAATTGTGCAGGTTAGGAGAGGGTATCTGCCTAAAGATTTTGTTGTTCCAAAGTCTCCAGAAAGAATATTGTTTTGTGGTTGGCGCCGTGATATAGAAGATATGATAATGGTAACTTGATGACAGATCCAAATTGAGTTCATTTGCATGTGATGGAGACATTTGTAGCAAAAGGATTTGGAGGCAGAACTTACCTGTGCCAATACTTCTAAATATATAGTATTTCTTCCTGTTATGAATTTGATTATGTTTAATTAATATCACAGCTGCAATGCTGATAGAAGGTGGTATTAAGGCCTTAATTTGTTTTGGTTGAGAACATATTTTAAACTTGGTTGTTGATATCAATCCAGGTACTTGATGCTTTCCTTGCGCCAGGATCAGAGTTGTGGATGTTTAATGATGTCCCTGAGGTTGACAGAGAAAGAAAACTGATTGATGGAGGTCTGGACTTCAGTCACCTTGATAATATTACTTTGGTGCATCGTGAAGGAAATGCTGTTATTCGCCGTCACCTGGAGAGCCTTCCTTTAGAATCATTCGATTCTGTAAGTTCTGAGAAATTATATTGTACCCTGCTAATTCCAATGACTATAGTTGGTTGATGCTTGAAAGCAAAATGCAGATCCTGATTTTGGCAGATGAATCTGTAGAAGATTCAGCAATCCAAGCTGACTCGAGGTCACTTGCAACGTTACTGCTGATCAGAGATATTCAGGTTTCTTTCTAGAACAGAGAATGGTTAAAATATTTATGGTTTTCTTGTTATTGATATCATCTTCGGGTCACATGCAATCATCTTCGATCATGTTTTTGTGATAAATATATTCCATGCTGTCTTTCTTTCCTAATGTTATACTAAACTCTTCACAAGAACTGAAGATTTCTCATTTCTTAATTACTGCAGGCAAAACGTCTTCCATACAAGGAATCATTGGTTTCACATGTTTCCCGAGGGACCTTTTCTGAAGGTTCTTGGATAGGGGAGATGCAACAAGCATCTGACAAATCTGTCATAATCAGTGAAATTTTGGACCCCAGGACAAAAAATTTGTTGTCAATGTCAAAAATTAGTGACTATGTTCTTTCAAATGAACTAGTGAGCATGGCATTGGCAATGGTCGCAGAGGATCGACAGATAAATACTGTCTTGGAGGAGCTCTTCGCCGAACAGGTACAGTTCTTGAAGTTGATGGTTGCATGGTCAAATCACTTTTTACTGGCCTAGAAATTTACCTCTCAAAAGTCAGAAGTATTAATCTGCATTCAATCTGCTATCCTTATCATATTTCAATCCCTAACATATATGCAAATAATATTGAGCTTATAATTTGCACAGTAGATGGATCTAATGCCTAGTAAGTTAACTGAATTATTAGAGCTTTATATTTGACACGGATATTGTATACTAGGTTAACTTTACCTATCAAATCTCATCTGTAGACTGAAGTCTTTGGACTATTACAATTAGACAGTTTTGTTCAAGTTCACTTTTTTCGCTTTGTTCTTTATTAGAATTATTCTTCTTCTCATGTTTTAGTTTGCCAGAGTATATTTCTAAGCCAGCAGCTTGATTTTTGAATCATGTGTCTTGTCATGTTTCTGTCTGATTAATATCTGGGTTTGCAACTGCACCCTTTACAGGGAAATGAAATGCAAATACAACCTTCCGATCTTTACCTTAGAGAAGAAGAGGAGTTAAATTTCTTTGAGGTCATTCTGCGAGCTAGACAGAGGAAAGAGATTGTCATTGGGTACCGTCTTGAGGCAGCTGAGCGAGCCATAATCAATCCAACAGACAAAGTTTCAAGGCGAAGGTGGTCACCCAAGGATGTTTTTGTTGTTATATCCGAGAAAGAATGAACTTCATCAAATCACAGTTAACATGAGAGCAAGCTCCTGACCAGTGACCACACCTAAGGAAGAACAAGCAACTGCAACTAGCGCAGAGAGCTGTTTGATTCAGATGCGCATTTAGCAGAAGGCAAGCGCTGAGCGCGAAGGAGCAAAACATGATCAGATTTTGGATCAGTCTAGATGGATACCTCAGGTTGCCTTTTACAAATATGGCTTAAACTAAAAAAGGATGTGAACAGAATAGGCAGCACATGTTTTGGAAGTTTGGATCGATCCAGTTCATTTGTATATTCTCGTCTGTGTAAGTTGCACATAAACAACGAGCAAAGCATGACCCTGGCTTAAACTAAGGGCTTAAAGCTATTGAGTGTTGATACTGAGCGGGAATTCAATTTTCCAGTGAGGCTGTTGTACCCTGGCTATAGAGTATAGACCACAGCGATAGTTCAGCATGACAGTTCCATTACTTAGGCTGTTCAGCATTTTGTACAAATTGAGGAAACCATATTTGTCCTTATGTTAGGAACAATTTTGATGTATTTTGTCAAAAACATGAGATGCCAGTAAGTTCATGTAAATATATGTAACTGGAAGATCATCTGTGGACACATTTTATGATGTTTACAGTTTAGTTAGGTCATATCAGTTTATAATTCATCACCAAAGGTATGCTAGATGCCAATACTGTGATAAAATGGCAGACGGTAAGCCAATTTTAAGGCTGGATTAGCTATGGTTTCTTTGGACTGAAGCTGGAGGACATTTTTGTTACGAGATGTTCTTTTTCTTTTTTCTTTGTTTATTGTGAGCTGATGAGTTGTACAACATCCAGCATTGGAGTTATAACGGTCTAATTAATCATTCCTCCCGGGCGTTTTGTGCGGAAACAACCTCAGACATTAACAAAATTATCACGGCGCCTCTTTGGGCTTTGGCCCTTCTTTCCCCTTGTACTTTTAAATTAACGTGAATGTACATTTTATTGCCAAAGAGGATCCATGCAAAACGTCAAAGTCCCCGTAATTTTTCATCGGTGTCTTTTGACCCCCTTCCTCCCGGCCGTTTTGTGCGGAAACAACCTCAGACATTAACAAAATTATCACGGCGCTCGCTGGACTCTGGTATACGTAACAAAAAAACAGCACCAGTCAGCCTAAAATAGCATTTAACACCCACCAACGAACATGCCCCTAGTATACGTAGCCCAAACTTCTCTTCTTCCCCACTCTGCCTGCGGCGGCGCTCGCTGGACTCTGGGGCCTGGCCCGTTCGTCTCAACGAAGCACTCACACCTCCGGCCACCACGAAGCAATCACCGTTACTCTCTCGGTGTCCTCATCTTCCTGCTCTCTCCAGCCGGACTCGGATTGACTACTTCTCTCGTCGGTAAGCAACCCTAGCTCGTTTGAATCACTGACGATGACTGGATTCTATTGTCCCCAAGAGTTAGTTCGCGTGATTCCGCCTCTGATTGCGTCGTGGATTAGCAGGGGGGCAACCATGATGGAGGTGGGTTTGAACCCGGGGGAGGAGCTGGACTTTGGGGGCAATCAGGAGGACGACGACGACGCGGGGTATCTCTGTCTCCGTGGGTCGCCAAAGTCGTGTATTGCCAATGCTACAAAGTTAAATCTCCCGTAGTAGTAGACCAAACTTCTCTTCTTCCCCACTTGCTGCGACTCCATGGTCGTCTCAACGAAGCACTCACACCTCCGGCCACCACGAAGCAATCGCGGCGGAGACCGTCGAGCTCTCCAGACGACGGATTGACTACTTCTCTCGTCGTAGCTCGTTTGAATCACTGTGTGACTGGAGTCCCCAAGAGTTCGCCATTCCGCCTCTGCCGCCGCGTAGCGTCGTCGTTGTCACCGGGGAGGCGGCGCAGTCAGGGGACGACGACGGGGACACGCCGCAGCAAGGAGCTGGGATGGTGCGGCGGAACCGTCCTGACGACGGCGTCGAGGTGCTCAACCTCCGCCGCCGCGTCGTCGTCGTTGTCACTGGCGGCGCAACGGGGCGCGCACGCCGGGACTGCGTCCACGGGATTCGGCGCTACGCCCTGCGCACGGGATTCGGCGTCTGCGTCAAGAAGTCCTCCTTCACCAAGGCCGGCCTCTGCCGCCGCCTCGTCCTCGTCTGCAACAAGTGGGGCACCGGCAAAGAGGACGCCTGCTACCAGGCCAGGCCCACGGCCAAGACCAACTGCCAGGCCACCGTCGTCGCCAGGCTCTGGGTGGACAACTTGCTGCACCTCACGGATGTGAACCTCGAGCACAACCACGCGCTCAACCCGTCCGCCGCGCGCTTCCTCAGGTGCTACAAGACGCTGCCTAGTGGGCTGAGCAAAGATCTCGTGGTGAGGGCTGCCAGAGGAGAATGCTCGGTGGCGGGTGACATCGATGTCCCGATATTTGATGAGTGGGGGCGGCTTAAGATGGGGGAAGCTGATGTCGTGGCCATCAACGGTTTCTTCGCCGAGATGCAGGCAAAGCTGCCAAACTCCTTCTATGTCATGGACTTTTATGTGGAGGGCCATCTGAGGAGTGTTCTCTGGGCTGATTCCAGATCCAGGGCAGCGTATCAGTATTTCAGCGATGCTGTTTGGATTGATACGACATGCTTAAGGAACAAGTATCATGTCCCACTCGTTTCATTTCTGGGTATCAATCATCATGGTCAGCTTGTATTGTTAGGCTGTGGATTGCTGTCAGATGAGAGTACAGAGAGCTTCCTGTGGCTGTTCAGGTCATGGTTAACTTGTATGAAGGAACGGCCTCCAAATGCCATAGTTACTGATGAATGTGTGGCGATAAAAGCCGCAGTTCGAGAAGTGTTTCCAAAGACACGCCATAGAATAAGTGATTGGCATGTAGTGAGAAGTATTTCAGAGAAAATAGGTGACTTGCCAGAATATGAAGCGTTGAGAACCGATTTGGTCACTGTAATATATGATTCTTTGATCGACAGTGAGTTTGAGGCAAGGTGGAAGAACTGGGTTGATAGATTTGGCCTTCAGGATAATGCATGGATCGCCTTTCTGTATGAGAATCGGCACTTGTGGGCCCCTGCCTTCCTCAAGGACACCTTCTGGGCTGGGCTCTGTACCGTTAGCCAGCATGAAAGTCCAAGTACATTTTTTGAGGATGCACTCAGTTCAGAGACCACATTGGTGACGTTCCTTGCCAGCTACATGACACTTTTGGATAACAGATACAAAATGGAGCAACAAGATGATTTTGATTCATTAAATAGCAGCAGGGTCCTGATATCAAAGTACCAAATGGAAGAACAGCTATCCAGATTGTACACCTTGAATATGTTTATGAAGTTCCAGGATGAGCTAAAGGCAACCATGCATTGTCAAGTTCAGCTGGATGGGTCAGCATCTTCTTTTATAGTTATTGATTTGACTGAAGCAGGGAGTGAAATGCTGAATAAAAAGTACGAGGTTGTTCACTATATGGCGACAAACAGGATGGAGTGTAACTGTGGCCTATTTCAGTTTAGTGGTATTGTTTGTCGGCATGCATTATCTGTGCTTAAATGGCAGCAAGTATACGACATCCCCCCTTGTTATGTACTTAACAGGTGGCGGACTGACTTCAAGCAGTTGCACTACCCAGATAATCCATCAAAGGATTTAGCAACAAGTAATCACGGAGCGTTATGATTACATTTCTTTGCAGTTTCTTCGTCTCGTTGAGATTGGGATGACATCAGACGAGAAGTATAGGCATGCAGTAAGGCTTCTTAAAGACATGAAAGAAACCCTTCTTGATGATAATCTGTGCCGTGATTTGGAGCAGAAACTTACACCAGCTGAGCATGCAATTGTGAATGGTGACAACCATACACAACCTGGTTCATCTGAGGGTGGTCCAGCGAAAAAGCGGCGAGGACGTCCTCCTAAAAAGAATAAAGAGATAAACGTGGATTCCATGGTAAACCAGTATGGGAATAAGGTGTTTCCTTACTTGTATTGTGTGCATGCTTTGCATCATTTCGTTGTTGGTGCTAACTGATTTTTATTTTGTCGTGTGGCAGGACTCCTTACTAGTATCCTCAGACGTAACTCAGAAGGGTGCTTTTCATTCTGCTTCAACTACCTCAAACCTTGGTACCCATGTCCGGACACATGGCATTGTTGATCTCATGGTAATCATTTTTCTTCATAATTGGTTCCCAGTCCTTTATCATAAAATGAGATTCTTGATAGTATATTTACTTTTAACTGTGCATCTTACAGGAAGAAGTCCATCCAAGTGAGCTGTCATTTGACAGCCGTTATGGGGTGCAATCTGGCCCCTCGCATCATTTTGGTAACCAGCTAAATGCTGGAAACACTTTACAGGTTCGTTCTTTGCAATGCTGTACTTGCATTAATGCATTTTCATTTTCGATTTTTCTTGAATAAAATATGCGCAACAAAGGAAAAGACTTAAAATATTTTCTCCAAATTGGGCAGTTTGGCCAATCTACATCAGCAGCAGAGCACTCTAGGGTTCAGTGGGTGTTTCCTAATGGCATGTATCAGGTGAATGAACTTTGCAGTTTCTTCATTATGTTTTAGAGCCAACTGATGCAAGTCATTAAACTTTAGTGATTGGCATATATACTGACGCATTGTATAAATGTAGGATGACCAAGTGACTTACGGCAGACGGACATCATAGCAATTGGACTCAGGGTCCAGGGTTTGCCATTTCAGGTTTCTTTCTCTTGAGATTTTTTTTTCCTGTATATGCCATGTTGAGATGCTAGATAAATCATGTTTGTCTTGCAAGTTAATATTACTAGCCATTGCTTCTTCAGATAGAGGAGTGACTGAAACTTTGTTGAAATTTTAGTATTTTACTTATGAACCCTGTAGAACAGGAAGGTCATGAAAATCTGCTTAAGAGCTCCATTGGCATATATAGTATTTGTTAGTACAAGGGAAGCTTTTATGCGTTTAAGTAGAAAGTTTTCATCTAAGCGGCATTCAGTGAGCTATATTTTCAAGCTCTGTGACCATTTTCTGATTATTTTAATTAATGCTGCTTGTCCTGCATGAAATGTGCAGGTAATCCTGTCAGGGATCCTCTGTTTGGACTTTGGAGCAGCGAGGACTTCAGGATGATCCACTGTGCTGGAATGTTGAGCCTTGGAAATGCATGCTGTGACTGGCTGCCTGCTCTGGGTGGTTTCTTTTGTAGGAACATAGCATCAATCTAACCCATGTATATACACACACATCATCTCAGATAGAAACCCGTCAGTAGGAAGTGCTGAGCTAAACTCCTGACGATACAAGGCGTGGTTAGCGGCGGACAAGAAACTGAGAGCTTCGTTTTCTTTTTGTTGATACAATTTTGCCTCATGATGATCAGCTAAAAGGGAGGAATATCCATGCTCTTCCTCTGGGAAAGTCGCAAAAAACAATCCCACTTTATCATCTTTGCCCACTTTATCATCTTTGCTCCTTACATAAAAATCACGTGCGTCAGGCATGGAGCATCGTGCAACGAAGCCTGCACACTGAAGTTTAGAAGAGAGATGCCGGTTTATCTGACATGGCACCCAAAGATTTTGGGCATCGATGACTGCCACTGCGGCTGCTCTACTACCAATTTCTTATGACTAAATTTCAACGGCCAAATTGTTGATGGCACATCAAATATTTTTGAGACTTTTTCCTATGTGCCATTATAAAAGATCGTAATCCTCTCTGTGTATTTTGGAAAAATTCAGCGGTCTTCAGCGCCACTACTTCAACTTTTTCGGGTCCTTCATACCCACTTCAAATGAGTTAGCACTTAACTTGCGTCAAACTACAGGTGTGAAAAGACGAAAATACCCTTAAATTCAAATATGTTATTAATTTTTTTTGAGCATCTTAACGACTTCAAATGAAAAAACTCAAAACTAGAAAGTTGTAGATCTCGTTGAGATCTATAATTTTCATATAATTTTTTTTTCATTTAATTTCGCAAAAAAAATATGATGATTTTTCTAAGATATATTAATCATATCAAATCATATTTTTTTACGGAATTAAATGAAAATAATTTTTATATGAAAATTATAGATCTCGGCCGAGATCTATAACTTTCTAGTTTTGAGTTTTTTTTCATTTGAAGTCGATTAAATGCTAAAAAATTAATAACATATTTAAACTTAAGGGCATTTTAAATCTTTTCACACTGCATTTGACGGCGTTAAGCCTGAAATTTGGAAATGGAGAACCCGAAAAAGTTAGAGTAGTGGGCGTTCAAGACCGCTGAATTTTTCAGAGGCACATGAGGATGCGATTTTTTATAAACTGCACACAGAAAAGTCTCAATATTTTTTTAAAAAAATTGGCACAAGATGCAAAAGGAAGCACTCCAACTAATGCAGTGCTTCCCAGAACCAAAAGCTCCATCGTGTACCAAGCCTGGAATCCTGCTTTAACAATTTCTAGCACCCCTAGACACAAACGCTGATTATTAGGACAGCTTTAGTCATGGTATATTATTGTGAAGAGCTGCAAAGTTTACCACGTGAGGTGCTGGGATAGAAAAAAAAAAGTTTGGTTTATCTAAAAACTCTACCGAGTAGGGCCATGAGAAATAAAATAATCTTCATTTTTTTTCCTTAGCCGAGGACCTTAGGGAATTTTTTTGATATAATATTATTTAAATAAATAATTATAAATTTAGATGAGACTTTTAATAAATTGTAAATCTACTAGTACCCTATCGGCAATTGAGCTACCAATAGGGAGCCTATCGGTCACTCAGAGGCCGACAAGTTGAACCTGGCAGGCAGATTGGGCCTAAACAGTAGCAATAGGGCTTTAGCACCTTCCCTACCATCTTTCGAATGGACTTTCCTTTGTTTTTTTTTCAACTCGTCACACCAACTTATTTATCCTATTGCCACTTATCCAAATCTTAATAGGCTTATTCCACGGGTATGCTATTCTAATATGATTTTATATATTATTTTTAAATCAAGGGTGATACGTTGAAATTTGAAGCATGGTAAATTGGTAATGACGGTGACACAAGTTTCAACGTACTCAGTATGTGTTGTTTTTCTTTTTGTTTACGCCAGATTTTGAAATGGATCGTGAAGATCATGGCGTCGGCGGTATCGGCTCAGGCGTAACAGAACCGAACTCTGCCAGAAAGGAAATCGTGGAGTTCAAATTAGATTATTTTTTTACTCAAGAATTGTCTAGTCGTATTTGCCTAGAACTCTGTATCGGCCCATGGTACAAATATAGACCTCGGCTATTGTAATATTTTTCATCTCTCGATCAATACACAATCTATTTTTCCAGCTTCACGCCATCGCACTAGTAGGAGTAACGTAATTCTCGACGAGTTCTTCGGTAGGCCGGGCTGCATCGGTTTCGATCTCCAGTTTGCTTGTAAGTACCGTCATTATTGATTTGTACTAATCTTGTAAGGCTACATCGTTTGATCTCTTGCTATATTTGATATTAATCAAAGTTGTCGGTTCTATTGTGTTTAGTAAGGCTGCATCTTGTGATCTAAAATTGACCGGCACATCCTATTTTTCAAAATCGACAGGACCTGCACTAGAGTAAAGCGAAGGTGTCTTGAGATTTACTAATCCAACTCGTGCGTGCATGCCCTAGAGTAGGAGCAAAGCAAAGGTGTCAAAAAGATTTTAGTATTACACATAAACCTTTATAAGAAATAGATGTAATTTTTATGTGATTGTCGACGAAATTTGATCGGCAGTGTATCGAGGGGTATAACCATGATAGTAGATGAATAGGTGGAGATGCACGTGATAAGAGCCGGATGGCGACACAAGCGTAGAGACAAGCAATTTAGACAGGTTCAGGCTGTCTGATCGACGTAATACCCTACGTCCTGTGTCTTCGGTGGATTATATTTGTGGGGGTATTAACCCCTATACCCTTACGGCTGGGTCCGTTCCGCTAAAAGATGACGCGCGGCCCAGCCAACCTTTTTGGAGTCCCGCGCAAGGAGTTAAGACAGATTTGACGATCAAGCAAGATCATGGTCGGTTATAATAGGAATCCTTATCCGGCCACCTATGGCAATTGTAACTGGCTAGGATTAGTTTTCAGATCTATAACCCTATCCCCTGGACTATATAAGGCGGGCAGGGGATCCCTCTAAAAAACATCTCTCATTGACATACAACAATACAATTAGACGCAGGACGTAGGTATTACGCCTTTTGGCGGCGAACACGGATAAAACCTCGTATGCATCTTTACGCCACCATCTTATTTGTAGCTTGCGATCTATCTCGCCGACAATCTACTACCTTGGGCATACCCTAGGTAGACCGCCGACCATATTTCGTCGATATGATGGCGCGCGCGGGTAGGGGGGTGTGTACCGCTCTCAAGCGAACAAGATGGTCATCATCCCGGCTCCATGGCTACACCGAACGGCCTCACGTTCACCGTCGGTCGATCACTGGACCACCGGCTCGAGCGACTTCATCGCCATGATCACGAGAGAGGCGCGGATTCAATCTGCGTCAACCGCCGCTTCACCGCGACGGCTATGGCTCCGACCACGGTGGATACGACTCCGACCACGGTGGATCTGGCTCCGACCACGGTGGATTTGGCTCCGACCACGGTGGATCTAGCTCCGACCACGCCCGCATCGCCTTCAGCCACACCGACAACCCGTCGTTCGCTTCCTCGCTACAAAGGGAAGCGGATCGACAACACCGACTGTTTCGACTCCATCGATCGGGTCGGCACCAAAACTGCCAAAACCCTAGCTCGGTAAGTTCAATTCAAAGTCAACCTAATGAGGCGGTAACCACTACCCACAGCAGATCTACCCGACTAGCTCGGGGCAACCGTCTCCGCACGACTCTCATGCAGATCTCGTGGTCACATCTACTCTCTGAAAGGCGCTCCGTTTCGTCGCCGCCAGCCCTGCGATGGGTCTCTCCGCTCTCGAATATGAAACCTCGATGGAGAACTACGGTGCCCAGCCCTATGGCTCGCTAAACGCGCCTCCAACTACGCTTACAATATATAATTTGCTCGGGTCTACGTTCTGTACTCCGACCTCGGCCAAAGCCACACAACTTCGTCAACATGGTCCGGATTGAGGATTGTCAAGAAGGATCGGTCCACACAGTTCAAGAGAGTGGCTCAAGCTCCTCGTCCAAGATCGCATCTAATGCCTCTCGCTCGCACCGAGCTCCGAATCACGACGATGAAGGCGTCGAATACGATCTGGATATCCGAGACCACGCCCCGAGAGATACCGCGATTCCGTCCTTCCCACCAAGGCGGGAGGCTTGATCAACGTTGTCAGTAATGACGAACCACCGGCAGTCGGCGAGACAGAGCAAGAAAGGCTGACACGTGAAGCACGCAATATTGATCGGTTTAATCGCCGACAAATCGAAGCCGAGGTGGAAGAAGCACGACACATAAGGGTCCAGCCATGCGACCTCAACAATGCCTTCGACTAGGTGGGGGATAAATAGGTCTTCAGGACTCCAAGCGCCAACGTGGCCGTTGCTATGGCAACAATGCAACGGCTACCCAATACCCCGGAAACCCAAGCAATTTGCGACGATATACAAGCTTACCTGACGGCTGCTATGGCCCAGACCACAGAGATCGTAAATCAAGCCCGGGCTCCATCCATCTCAGTCGAGTCAAGCCACGTACCGCCCGGTACTCAAGTCGCTCACAGCCACCCAACCAACGTGGCTCACGCAACAATGACCCATCAGACAACCGTCAAGGCGGAAACGGTGGCCATGACGGTGGTCGGGATGACAACCGCCGTCGGGAGGACGACCACCGCGATGTTCGGGACGACAACCGCAATAATCATCGCGAAAACCATGGTCGTAGGGCTAATCTGGATGGCAACCGAGATCGCCGTGATGGCAATAACGATCTCCGCCATTACCTCGGAGGACGTGATCTGCGCGATCGCATCAACCAGAGAGCCAACGATCGTGCATCCCATGAAAGCTATCGCCGTATGGAATATGATACTGTCCACGGCCCGCCGGGTTTGAATCAGTTTACTCCGCACCTTCGCCAAGTCATATGGCCCAAGAACTTCAAGCTCAAAAAACTTCAGAAGTATGACGGCAAGGAGAACC